CAATAGAGTAGAGATATTAAGGTAATACAAGAAATCACAGTTTATTAATGGGAATTAGAAAAAATAAATAATTAGGAAAGCTTCTTTGTACTTTGTTATCAAAGTTGAGGTTGAAAAGAGTTTAAGGGTCTATCTTATACTATTATGTGTCCCTCTGTCAGAATTATCATACTTCAATTGGGAACAACAAATTAAAAAAATAACTGTTGCCATATTAGTTATTGAGCTGAAATAATCTAATTTTTGATATGACACATAAAAATCATCTCCACTGGCATATATTCCTTTGCATTAAACAAAAACCATAATGTGGATGGATGCAATTTACCCTGATCTCTGGGTCCTTTTTGTTTTTGTATTTATCTTTTTTCATATTTGTCTTTTCTTAAAAAATAAATCCTGTTGCAGAATTACATGAAGGCTCTTGTAGAAGTCCAATGGATTGTCTAAAATAAGATAGAGAAGAAGTTTCCAAACTCATTGAACTACAGATTATGTGACCGTTCAAAAGGATTGTCATTCAATAGTGACACACTGGGTAAACTTTTAGTTGGCCAGCCTTGTTTTGACCGACTTCACCAAGCAGCAGCAGGGGAAACACATCCCAATCATTACAGGTCATGAAAAGATCATACTGTGCTCAATCTTCTGTGGGCATGCTAGCATTTACTTGAACTACCCTTTGCCACAAAGTTTGTGAGGTCTGAATGCATTCCGTTAGATTGTATAGTGTGCAACAAGAAATTGTATTTTGGATTTACTGAAGAGTATCACAGTTTTGCCATAGGTGGGTAGCAAAATATAATTAATTCTAAATCAAAATATGCATGTATAATTGTCAACTTTTTTGTTTTTGCAACTGAGAGAAATAAATTCACATACTGTAAATGCTACTGAAAATTTTAAGAGTATTATTTAGCAACACGTATGCTTTAACACTCCCTTAAATGCATTTCCAGTAAATATATGAATACATAGAGTTGTAGAAGGCAGTTATTTATTTATTCCAATGATTTTAAGTCAATATACTCTGTGTGCCATATCCATAGTAAGTGATAATTTTAATAATAATTGCTAAATTTAAGCACATATTCTATGCCACTTTCAGTGCGCCATCCCACATAATTATCTCAACAACCATATATTATTATTATTACTGTCATTATTATTACCTCCATTTAATTTTTTTCATTGATGTAATGTTTACTGGGTTCCTACTATGTCCTAGTAGGTGGGAAAATTGAGGCTCAGTGATTTTAAATGAACTGCCTAAACCACACTTGTGGTAGGAGCACAGATAAAGTATTCAGATTTTAAGGCCCATATTATAACTATTAGCATGAAACAAAAACAAAATCAAATTTTTAAAATGTCATTTAGGAAATCAAGTCAACATTCCTTTCCATTTTATAGTTTAGTCTATTTCTAGAGTATGAAAATATTATTTTTAATGTATTTAAAATTTAAATTATATTATATAAATCAGAATCATGAATATATGATTAACACAGGTGAACTATAAATATTAGATAATGTAAGGAAAGTTTACCAAACACATTTACCACACATCAGCTTTCATTAGAACTGTGTTTTGTCAAGCATTATTAAATTAAAAGACTATCTGGATAAGAACAAATCTAAAGATAAGTTACTATTTATATAGAAGTTACCACTTATAAGTTAGTTATCACTTATTTGCCATTAGAATATATAGCCCAAAGAGATTGCAGCCTGACTGAGGTCAGACAAGCATGTAATTGAAAAGTAAAAGCTTGGATCCTGTTCTATAACCCAAAGTCTGTTCTTTTTAACAAAGCATAGTAACCATAAAACTAACATGTTATACTTTAATGTAATACATTTTTTGAGACAATGAGCACCTCAGATAATTTGGTACTTCAAATACAATTACATGTTTATGTTTCACAATAAATATTAAAGGTAGTCAGCTCATCAAAATCTGTTTTTCCCCTCCGTCTGCTATTATTGTTTTAAATGCAGCATCTGTCTTAATCCCTTGCCCTGTTTATCCTCATATTAGCGTCTGACCTGCTAACCCCTTCTTCAAATACAAGATCAACTGTTGCATGGTATTTTGTCTGTGAAGTTTTAAATGACTTCAGTTTCCTTTGTGCCCTTAAATGTGCCCTTAAATCTTAGCCTATCTATTTAAGCATGTTCAAACGGTATGTTATATCCTTTTTTGCCACTTGAAGAAAGTAGCAAGAACTGCTTTTAAAAATGTATCCTATAGCAACTAATATATAGCACCCTCACATATAAATAATTACATTTTATTAAATTTCATTTCAATTTAGACCTACTCTATGTTAGATACATATCTGATATGTTAGAGATACATGAATATAGATATAGACATATACAAATATAGATTTGTATTCCTTAAAGAGAATTTCATTTGTGATTGAGGATTTGAAAAGACTATCTCAAGAATAACATAACTATTTTGTTTTATTATTTGATATCATTAATCTTTTAATAGTTTATCTTTTAAAAAATTTGTTTGAGGAACTTTTGTAATGTTCCTAAACAATAGAAATTGCACAATCATGTACTTGTTCAACGTATAGTCCATTTTTTAGAACAAATGCTATTTTATCAAACTATAAGCTACCAGAATATCAGTTCTTGATTGAAATGCATTTAGTATGTTATCAGACAGAATATACTTAGAAGAAATCTGACACGTTGAGATTAAATTGATTTAATCTCAGTTGAAACTTAAATTCGGCATTAGTCATGGATAATTGCTGTCAGAAAGGGTATGTTCTATCTATTCATTTACATAATATGAGCTTCTTTGGATTGCATATGAATTAAATTTTCTTTAATTGTAGCAGCAACATGCAACACACAGCTTCTTGCTAGTGTAAAATACATCATATCTTCTAAAAATTGGCTAATATTCTAATACAAATTTCCGAACTGAAGTACAAACTTTAGGAGAAAGATTGTAGGAGGAAAGAATCCAGAAAATATAGTATCCAATCTCAATGCACCACATGTTACATTGGACCATTCCCCTGAAAATGAGAGAGTGCACTCATTGAGAGTTTCCTCAATTTGTGACTAAAATGTAAAAAGATCAAGCCCTATTAATATACTTTAATCCTCTCTTTGACAAAAAGAATATAAAATACTTTATTGATAAATCTCAACTCATTATTGGACAGTAAGAAAATATAAGATATAAATTTATGCAAAATATGACTCTATTCATCAAATTCCTGAGTTACAACAGCAGATCCATTTTGGACTCTATAAATATTAGATCAACAATTTGCATAAGTACTAGCATAAAGATAGGAAATATATGTCCACCTTCAAATGTCTGTATTTTATAGCCATAATAAACATAATTTTGAACTTTCTTTTAGCACATTTGTTAAAAAGAAAAACTTTAGACAAGTTAAATGTAAGAGTTTATTTGCGGAAAAAACAATTCATGAATCTAGCAACACTCAGAAATAGAAGAGTCAGAGATCTCCACCTGGCAGTGTGAGCAGTGAGCATTTACAGGTTAAATATGCAAGCAAGTAAAGAAATGATCTGATTGGCTACAGCAAAGTGAGTGACAGTTTGTTACTTAAGAACTTAAAGAAAACTGGGTTCGGTGGCTTACCCTGTAATCCCGTGTTTTGGGGAGACTGAGGTGAGTGGATTGCCTGAGGCCGCGGGTTCGAGACCCGCCTGGGCAACTTGCCGAGACCTCATCTCCACAATAAATCAAAAAATTAGCCGGGCATGGTAGCGCGCGCCTGTCGTTCCAACTACTCGGAAGGCTGAGGCGGAAGGATCCCCGGAGTCCAGCAAGTCAAGGCTGCAGTGGCTGGGAGCGGCGACAGAATGAAACTCCAGTCTGGGCGACAGAGTGAAACTCCAACTCAAAAAAAAAAAGAAAAGAACTTAAAGAAGACATCCTCAAGCTAATGGACTCTTGCTTATTTAACTGAATATATTGAAAATTAAAAATAAATAATGTAAAAAGAGAAAAACTTGTCCAATATTATAGCATCCTAGCTAAATCAACTGTGTTCACGTTTTCATTTCTTTTTCTAGTATCTTCCAAATACTTGTATTATTTCATATCATTTTTATCTTAGCATTAATTTCTCATCTTTTCCAATTAAGAACATTTCCTAATTACTTACTAGTATCTTCCTTAGTATTATGTTTATTTTAATTATAAATTACTATTCATTAACTCAGTGACCCTAAAGTGTTATCCTTGAAGCAGTAGTGGGACCATCACCTGGGAACTTTTATATTTAAAAGTATTAGTATTTTTATTTCAAGCCCAGAATGTTCAGAAACAAGCATAAAAGTTGTGGTGATGTAGTTTGCACCATACTGTAATATTAAAAGCGTTTTATTTATTTTTTGTGTTTGTTTTCTATGTATTATCTGTATGAAAAGCATTGTAAACCTATTACAGTACAGTACTATATGGCTGATTTTGTTAGTTGGGTACCTTGGCTAACTTTGTTGGACTTAGGAACAAATTGGATTTACCAACATGCTCTCTGAAAAGAACGCATTCAGATATAAGGGCCTTACTGTATTACATATAATATTTATATAACTCTAGGTGATGGGTCATACTATTATCCCCATATTACTGATGGGGACAGTTTGGCATATGGAATGAATTTATCTAAAACATAAAGTTAGTAAGTGGTAGAGATAAGATTTGATCTCAGGCGGTTCAGCTTTTGAGCCCATATGGTTAAGCACTCCACTACTCTGGGGACAGAGATAAAAATCAAGAAGAAAAGGAGAGGATGAGAAGACTGTTGAAAGCATTTTGAAAAATTCATCTGCAGTTTCTGATACAAGCATTTCCTCCACTGAAAAAACAACTGAATCTTAAATATAGTATACTATAATTGAATTTTTTTGTCATTTGACACTTTGAAATACTCATATTAGTTGGACATATGAATCATATGATTTTGAATTTTTTTTCTGTCTTCAGGATTTCTGATTCCAGATGACCCTTTTGCATCTTGTGAAAATAAGTACTGTGGCTTGGGAAGGCACTGTGTTATCAACAGAGAGACAGGGCAAGCAGAGTGTGCCTGCATGGACCTTTGCAAACGGCACTATAAACCCGTGTGTGGATCTGATGGAGAATTCTATGAAAACCACTGTGAAGTGCACCGAGCTGCTTGCCTGAAAAAACAGAAGATTACCATCGTTCACAATGAAGATTGCTTCTTTAAAGGTAAATGCGGAGTGAGCTCAAAGTGTCACCCGCTTCTACTTCTTTCATTTCTCAACTACAGTCTTTGAATTTAAACTCCAGCATAATTTTATATCAGCAAGGGTCTAAAAAGGTAAAGAAAAAATTGAGTTTAATTACACCAGTAAGCTGCAGTGATTGTAAGTTTACATGGATACAATTCTGATATTCAGTTATAAGAATAAAGCTGGCCAAAATATGACTCAACGTTTAATATCGCTTCCAGCATTGCACCATATGGCTTCCCAGTCGTGGATTATCTTTGGGACACAGGGTGGCCAATTCAGGCTACAGGCTGAAAAGCACCTGGAGTGGAACTGAGGGAATCATGAATGCCAAACTGTACTGTGATAACATTTCATTACTTCCTGATTAAAAACCATGGTTTCAGTTTGCACCATATAATTCAAATTATATGAAACCAGCAATTGCCCACTGAAATAACTATGAAGGACTCATGGTTAAACTAATTAGTGAAAATGAGATGACAATAGTTTAAAATTTTAAAGTATCAGTATTTACATTCATGTACTTGAAAATCATTGGTTTATAGGAAAGTACTGCAGAATTAACAATTTGGTACATGATTTTAATATACTATATAAATAAAACATTCAACAGCTTTAACATCACTTATTTAAACATTTTTTGTTGTTTGTTTGTGCTCTTGGAAATATTTTCTTGTTAATGGTCATGACTCAGACTGTAATTTTAGAGTTAAATATATAGGGCTTTCATCAGTGATCATTTTCTAATGATTTCTGATCTTTGGTGAATTCCAAATTTCAGTTTCTCAAAATATTCTTGAAGTGTTTTTGTTTGTTTTGTGTTTTTTTGTGTATGTTTTTTTTTCTTCAAAGTTTTAAGGCAAAGTTTATTAGTGAGAAGAAGAGAGGAAAGAAAGGTTCTGTACCAGATAGGCCTGGCATGGGCAAGTCTCTTTCTCAGAAAAGAAAGACTGCCTTTGAAGTGTTTAACTGAAAAACTTATTTGACGTTTCTATTCTTAGCTTAAATTTATAACTGACATATAATGTTATTACACTTCATTCACTCACTTATTAAGGTAAATTAAAGACAAAAATTGTAGGTGTTTTCAGATTTGAAAAAAATATTATTTTCTTTTTTTTTTTTTGAGTTGGAGTCTCACTCTGTCACCCAGACTGGAGTGCAGTGACCGCTCCCGGCCACCGCAGCCTCAACCTGCTGGGCTCCGGCTATCCTTCCGCCTCAGCCTTCCAAGTGGCCGGAATTACAGGCATGCGCTACCATGCCCTGCTGATTTTTTGATTTATTGTAGAGAGGAGGTCTTGCTGCCCAGGCGGGTCTCGAACCCTCGGCCTCAGGCAATCCACTCACCTCAGCCTCCCAAAGGCGCGGGATTACAGGCTGAGTCACCGAGCCCGGCTAATGTTATTTTCAGGTGATAAAAAATGACGCACATAGCTTTTCAAATGATGGAAGATGAAATACTCTGTAGTCATTGTTACTATTAGAATCCTCTTAACCTATTTGAAGTAGAATTGTAAGAATAGTTAACATAGTGCACTATGTGAATCTTAAATATAAATCCAAAGAGTTATATAATACTAGTTTATCTTCTTGTACCAAAAGAATAACATGCTTTGGCAAGTTCATTGTGCTTTCCTTTTCTATCTAATTTATTTTATAAATAATTAAAGTTGGATCTATTGACATTGTGTTTTGATGCTCAAAGAGTAATATTTTCCTGCCATTTTGACTCAATTTATGTATGGCATTATGAAATTATATAAATAATATATAGCATGTAACTATTTTAACAGAGAATCATATCCTCAAGCTGAGGTTTTTTTCCCCTGACACTGAGTGATTAATTACATGCAAGCAAATATATGAAATGTTCTGTGGGAAAATGATCTGGTATACTTAATATTGTGCTTTATTGCTGGGCTCGGTGGCTCAGCCTGTAATCCCACACTTTGCGAGACTGAGGTGAGTGGATTGCCTGAGCCCGTGGGTTCGAGACCCGCCTAGGCAACTTGGCGAGACCTCATCTCTACAATAAATCAAAAAATCAGCCGGGCATGGTAGCACGTGCCTGTAATTCCAGCTACTCGGAAGGCTGAGGTGGAAGGATCGCCGGAATCCAGCAGATAGAGGCTGCAGTGGCCGGGAGCAGCCACTGCACTCCAGTCTGGGCGACAGAGTGAGACTCCAACTCAAAAACAAAACAAAACAAAACAAAACAAAAACCCCCAAAACCAATATTGTGTTTTATTGCTGGATGCTTATGCATAATGTCTTTCAAAATGAAAATTGACATAAAGTAGATAAAAAATGAGGTAAGTTGCCTTTGTTATAAGTTTACTTCATAGAAAAATGATTCAAAAAACTATTGACCTTCAGGTTTACACAAAACATACTTATTAAATCTATAATTGCTTCAAAATACCTTCTTATTGTGCACAGCATTAGCATGCTATTTATATTATCTGAGTTATTTATCAGGGGCTTGCATGTTTTCCAGATCTCAAAACTGAGGGTCTTCTGTTTTCTTATTTGTTTTGGTGTTTTGCCTAACATACAGATAGCTCATAAAATGACTTTATTTCAGCAGAGAAGTAAACAAAATAGAACAAAACAAAAAAAGTCCTCTCTTGTTAAGTGTACATTGGATCGTGTTTTGAGCATAAAAGAAAAGTCTGTAAACTGAAAGCCTGACATTGTTGTGATAGCTGAAATTCAATCTGTGATTGTGAATTTTATCTTCTGTGGAATTTCAGCAACTTATTTTGCTTGCAATAATGGCCCAATGGAAGAAGCAAGTTAAAATATTAATTTCAAGAACTTCAAAATTTTATAGTCAAGTAGATTTTTTTTAATGGAAAAATGAAGCAAGTCAAGCAATTAAAATAGAAAACACATTTGCTACTTTTAGACTAACATAAGGTTATTGTGAAAACCTTAGAATATGGTTTAACAAACATGAATCAATTTGCTAAAACCAGGTCACAGACTATTTTTTAAATAAAGTTTTATTGGAACATTACTCCACCCATTAGTTTAGGTAGTGCTTTTGTACTACAAAAGGAGAATCAAATAGCTACACCAAATCTATTTTATTTATTTATTTATTGCATCATAGTCTCACTCTGTCGCCCAGACAGGAGTGCAGTGGCAAGTGACATGCTCACGGTCCCTCCAGCGACGGCCTGCTGGGGTCCAGTGATTCCTTTGCTTCAGTCTTCCAAGTACCTGGAACTACAGGCACGAGCTACCATGCCCGCTTAACTTTTTGATATATTGTAGAGAGGAGGTCTCACCAAGTTGCCAAGGCTGGTCTCGTACCCCTGGACTCAGGCAATCGCTCTCGCCTTGGGCTCCCAAAGTGCTGGGATTACAGGTTTGGGCCACTGTGCCAGCCCTAAATATTTTTAATATGAATATTTCCAGAAAAAATTTGCTAAACTCTGCTTCAAAAGATTACTGATGCCTTAAAATTCATTTTAAAAAAACATTAGCTCCCAGCACATCGGGAGGCCGAGGTGAGGGGATTGCCTGAGCCCACGGGTTCGAGAACAGCTTGGGCAAATTGGCGAGACCTCATCTCTACAATAAATTTTTAAAAATTAGCAGGGCATGGTAGTGCACGCCTGTAGTTTTGGCTACTTGGAAGGCTAAAGCAGAGGAATCACTGGATCCCAGCAGGTCGACGTTGGGGTGGCCATGAGCATACCACTGCACTCCAGTCTGGGCAATGGAGTGAGACTCCAACTCAAAAAAAGAAAGAAAAAAAATTAGCAAATCTTTACAATTTTATTTATTTTTGACTATCTTGACAAATACAGACACCTACATATATGGGTGGAAATAAAACAGAAAATCTAAATAAGCAAGATCCAGTATCAAAGTCAATGTCATGGTTATAAAATTGTACTATAGTTTTGCAAAATATTACCATTGGAGAAACTAGGCAAAAGGTACATAGGATCTCTCTCTCTATTATTTCTGAAAAATGTGTGCAAAATTGGCAACTATATTCACATTTTTGTAAAAAATTTTAAAATACTGAAATGTATTGAAAAATATGTAAACACTTTTAAAGAAAGACTTACATTATACCTTACTGATGTATACTTTAATGTACGTTCTATTAGTTTAACTTTATCAGAATAATATATGGCATTTATTTTTAAACTTATTAAAATAAATTATATTTGTACAATCAGGTGTACAGATGCATTGTTTAAAGTTAAAATTAGAATTCAGGTTAAAACATTAATGTCTATATCTCTTATTGAAATATTTTATATATAACTATGTCTCTGTATCTTCATATTACTTGTGTTAACTATTGAAATGCCTCTGTAGTAATCTCAGCATTTCTATTATTGGCTCTTAATTGTACACATGAGTTTACCAAGAATTTCCTTTGGTGTTATGATTTGTGGAACTCTCGATAAAACAAACAATATAGTGAATATAGTATTTTTCTAATTTATTCTTTTCACATTTATTTGCTCATGAAATAAGAGACTATAAAAGGATGTAACATATTGTAGCATTTGTTTATTGGTGTCAAATGTTTTTTGATGATGCTCAACATAAGAGAAAACATTCTATTTTATATGATGCCTAGCTATTCACATTTGTGGTAAGACAGTTCTGCCTTAAAGTCACTTCTACCACAAAGGTCTTTCTAACTGCAGTAATTCACATCATCCCCTATAGCAAATACAATTTCTTCACACCCTGACACCAGGTCAGTCTGTGATAGAACACATCTAGACCACTCAGAGTGTAGACAGGAGATGGAGTAAGAAGCTCAAGCTATGACATAATAAACAGGGATTTAAACCTTTTATGAGAAAGTCAACTGAACAGAAACCCTTTTGCCATTTGCTGTGCTGAGAATAGAACTGCCATAAAGGAAAATGTTCTGTGCACTTAAATGTGCATCACAAACAATAACAACTTGAGAAATATGGTTGTAGCAGCTAT